TGTGCCCTGAGTAGGAATCGAACCGGCAATCCTTTGGTTCGCAGGATAGCACTCAGTCCACTGAGCCACACCAGCCAGGGCTGCTATTTGTTTTTGAATGTCTTGTATTTGTGTTCTATTCCTTATTTTGTGTTAAATATTTTTTAGTGTAGCTTTTTAATTCCCTTATTGTTTCTTTGTGATATTGTGTTTATAATAATATATATTTGGTCTTCATTCCCATTCCTGGCCCAGAGCTCCTAAAACTCTTAAACTTTCCTAAGTGATGAGAGTGAAAGGTATCTTTTTTATGCTAATAAATTGACTTTTGGAAAGCCCCTAGGTAGCCTATGGATGGGGCTGCCTGCCAAGGGAACCCACCATGTGACCAGAGGGTGGGGCCTCTGAGGAGGTGAGAGGGGCTGGATACCGAGTCCAGCTAACAATGGGGCCTATGTAAAACCTCAGAGGACGGGGTTCGGAGTTTCTGAGTTGAGGAATATATGGGGATACTGGGAGAGTGGAGCTCTTGGTGGACCTGGAAGCTTTGAGCCCTTTCCCCATAACCTAACCTGTAGTAGACCATCCTGCATGGCCTGGTCCCAGCCCCCAGTGGCAAACATTTACTGCAAAGTAACTTCCTAAAAACCATGCTAAACCTTCCAAGGATGAGTGTAACCGGTTCAACCACTTTTGCCTTTTCATTTGCGAATATCCTTCTTCTGTGATGTGATTAGCAACATTGGCTCCCTTGTTTTCTGTGAAAGGTAACCACCTAAAGCAAACCTGCGCATAGTAAATGAGGACCATCATGTAATGTGCAGAGAACAGAAATAAAGGCCTGTCATGGCGGAGGCCGCGGCTTTTGCTACCCTTGAGAGAAAAGCCATGCTGTCCCTTTTCCTCCACCGGACTCGGTAGTCCGTGTGAATGTCTCATTTCATCCATAATGATGCGGACACTGTGGGCCGGTGTCTGCATCACTAACCTATGCATATCTTCCACTTGGATGTTCCTCAGTTATATCCTTTTATAATAAACCAGTATTCTAGTAAGTAAAATGTTGCTCTGAGTTCCAAGAACCACTCTAGCAAATTAGTTGAACCCAAGGAGGTGGGTCACTGGAACCTCCAATCTACAGCAGGTCAGCCAGAAGCACAAGTAACAAGCTGGACTGCTGACTGGAATCTGAAGTGGAGTAGGGTTGGGGGAGCCCTTAACCTGTGGTATCACCCTGTCTCCATGTACATAGTGTCTGAGTTTAATGGAATTGTAAGATACCCAGCAAGTGTTGGAGATTTGCTTGCTGGGAGGAAAAAAAGCACACATCAAAACTGAAAGCAGAATCACATTCTTTTACTATATTATTTTAATTTATCCTCTTAGTGGCTGCCCTTGAAAACAAAATTAGCATCTTAATCTACCTTGAATGCATACTAACTTAATTTCAGTAGTGGGTAGGCAACAGTTGCTCCAACATTAGTTGTTTCCTCCACACCCTTGTGCTACTGTTGCCATACAAATTACATCTTTATACACTGTAAGTCCATTAACACAGTTTTATAATTACTGCTTTAAGCAGCTGTTTTAAAACTGATAGGAGTTACAAACAAAAATGTTTATACTTTTATAAAAGTGGTTACTTTTACCAATGCTATTTCCTCATGTGGCTTCAAGTTAGTTTCTAGTGTACTTCCACTAAAGCCTGAAGGGTCCCTTTAGTAGTTCTGGTAGGACAGGTCTGTTAGCAATCGATTCTCTTATTTTTGTTTATAGTTTAATGTCTTAACGTCTCCTATGTTTTTGAAGGATTTAGCCACAGAATTTTTGGTTGAAAGTCTTTCAGCACTTGGAAGGTATCAGCCCACTATCTTCTGGCCTCCATGTTTTCTGATGAGAATTCAAGTGAGTTCCACTGTATTTTTCTTTGGCATTTAAATTTTTTGCTGTGACTATAAACTGTGATTAATGTGCCATATTGTTTTTTTAAAATATAAATCAAACATTTTCTGGGGGGAATAAACTACTCATTTATGTACCTAAGGTCAATGAAGTCAGGAGGGCTCATTCTGGAACTGAGAGGTTTGTTTTTCTTTGAAGAAGCAGAGTGTCTTTGTCCTCATGTAACAGGGTGCAGCCAGGGGCGGGGCCCAAATAGGGATTGGAATGGGGTCCAGAACTCAAGGTGTCCAGGAAATATTAGAAAAATATATATAGGACGTCCTCACCCCCACAAGTCTGAGGGGTGGGATGGGACACATAGAGCAGGGCCATTGAGAGCTGTTTTGTACAGCAACAGCCTTGCAGCTACCCTCTGGCGTGGTCATTTAACATATCTATAGCCTTTAACTGGTGTCACAGATATGTTAAATAGCTGTGGTCATGCTTTGAGCCAGGGGGATGGGAGTGACTTCCACCCAAGATGTAACTGGGGGGCAGCTCCCCCTGGTTACAGTGTCTACATGAATGCTTGGAGAAGACTGGCTCCATGCCATGGGGCCACCCCTGCCCAGACTTATAGTAGCATCCCAGAAAAGCTGGAAGAAAACAGGAATGCTGGAAGGTGTAACCAATTGCGGGAGGAGCCAGAAATGAGGCTGCAGAGGAAGATTGGCACTGGGATTTAAACCCAGGTGCAGCAGCCATTTGGCATCTTTTCAGGGATTCCATGGCTTTTGGGTACTCCCTTTTGCCACATGGCTTAGGAAGCAGAAGAGACTTTGCCTGGAAGAAAAGGGGTGAAAGGACTCCTGCTGGTGGGCCATGAGAAGGTGCCACATGGCTTTGGATTAACTAGAGATCCTGGCGGCGACACAGCTGATGGCCCAAATAACGGACTTCTATTTTTTTTCCTGAGATACGGTACCCCAGACTGAGGAGAGGGAGAAGGAAGGACTGTGCATTTGTGGGTATTCTAAAGGACTTTAGTATTTTAATGAAGACATTAAGTCACTACTTTAAGTCTGTATAACTTTTAAATAAATAATTCCTTTCCTTTTCACCAATCTCTGGCATTGAGAGATGTCTTTCCTCTGGTGGTGGGCAAAGTGAACCTAGTGGGGGGGCCCTGGAGAAAAAGGGGAGCTTCTTTCAGTAATAGTATATTGTACACCCACCCTTGGGTCTGTTCTGTAAAACACAGAAAAAGTAAAAACAGTTGCTTGGTTGAAAAAGCGATTGAGGGACGGTCCCAAGCCCTGCAGGCGCCGCCACCTTTGCCTCACTCCCCACTGCAGTGCTTGAGGCATGTTCCTGGCTGCTCGGGACCTGTCACAAATAGGAGCTCCTCTGTGAGCTCCTTAGTACAACCTCTTGCTTTTTAAAAACATTTCATTCTACCTCAAGGTGTAGGAGGGTACAGCCAGAGGGTCCCCAAAAGGAGGATTTGGAATGGGGTCCAGAACGCAGGGTGTCCAGATTTTAGGATGTCCTCACCAGCCCCCAGGTGTGGGTTGGGGGAAGGGACAAATGGAGTAGGGCCATTGAGAGCTGTTTCCCATAGCAACAGCCTTGCAGCTACCCTCTGGTGTGGTCATTTAACATATCTATGGCCTTTGGCAGGTTACATAGATATATTAAATAGCTGTGACCAAGCTCTGAGCCAGGGGAATGGAAGTAACTTCCCCACCAAGATGTAACTGGGGGCAGTTCCCCCGAGTTACAGTGCCTGCATGGGAGCTTGGAGAAGATTGGCTCCATGACATGGGGCCGAACCTGCCCAGACCCACAATGGCAGCCCAGTAAAGTTGGAAGGATATAAATTCTGGCATGTGAGGCCGAGTGTGGGAGGAGTCGGAAATGGGGCTGCAGAGGAAGATTGGTGCGGGGATTTAAAACCCAGACGTGGAAGCCACTGGGAGAGAGAACCATGCAGTTTTGGCTGAGCAGAGACTCCTGCAGCCATGTAAGAAGAGGGACCATGCAGCTGTGGCAGTGAGGAGAACCATGTGCTTTGGCCAGAGTGGGGGGACACCCCCTGCCCCCCGCCGTAGCCATGAGAAGAATCACCATGCAGCTTCAGCAGAGAACCACCAGGCTTTAGCTGGAGATCCCGGCCACACAGCTGATGGTGCTGAGAACCGAGGGAGACCTATCAGCCAAGCATGGATTACTGGGAGGAACCGGGAGCTGCCTGATACACGGACTTCTATTTCTTTCCCTGAGATACGGTACCCCAGACTGGGCAAAGGGGGGAAGGAAGGACTGTGTGTGTTTGTGGATGTTTTAAGGGACTTTGGGATTTTGACAAAGACATTAAGTCATTACTCTTAAGTCTGTATAACTTGAATAACTCCTTTCTTTTTCACCAATCTCTAACATGGAGAGCTATAATTCTCTGGTGAAGGGAAAGGTAAACCTAGTACAGGGGGACCCTAGGAGAAGGAGTGGTAGCTTTAAAGTAATACAACTACTTGTATATACTCAGTAAAAGCCCACTAAAACTAGCCAGGAAGGATCTGCCCTGTAAGAATAGAGTCCCTCCAGCCCATGAGGTCAATCTCTGCTTGGAGTTGGCCTGCTCCCATGTTCTCTGCTCTAAACTCTGGGTGTTCAGTTCAATTCTTTGTCCCGATCACTAAGAACCTGGTTACCTGTACCCACCTGTGACAAAGGTGTTTCTCCGTCTCTAATTAGTGACCACTAACACATCGGGCTCCAGTGAGATCCTGCCTTGCTGACCTTGACCACTCCCAGCTCATCTCCCACAATCAGCGAACAGGACACCGAACATAAGCTTGGAGGACTGGCGGGCTCAAGAAAGAACATACGATTTCTGGGATACTTTGTCCCTGTCCCATCTTATGTTGCAACAGAGAGAAGTGTTTTGACTCTATGACTTAGAAATAGAGTGATTAGTTTTGAGCTAAGTGAGTAGGTAGATTATATTCTGCACAAATTTTCCTCTAGCAGCGAATAGAGGGTATTATGACAGAGCTGATACATAAGAAGTAGGCCTGATAGGGCTTAGAATCACAGCATTAGACGCATCTTTAAAACAAACGCTCAAAAGAAAATTTGTGTTCTAAGTGTCCACAAGAGATTTTTTATTAATTAAATTTTTAGAATAAAGGAATTTAAAAAATAACTACGACACTTTTAAAAACTATTGAGTATTGAATGATGTTTACAATGAGAAAAAACCTGAACCTTAAAGAACAGACGGAGGGAAGCACCTCAGGCCACAGGAACGGAAGCAGGTGGGCCGACGAGCTGCAGGGGTGCTCATCAGGTCCCGCGCACTGGCTGGCTGAACAAGCCGCCGGCTGCACTCGTCGTTTCAGAGTCTGTGTGTGAGACTAATTATTCAGTGACATCGGAAGGTAAGTCCTCTCTATTGAGAAGAGCTTTTACTCTAATCCAGCCCATAGATTACCTTCTATAACAATTTGTATGGGAATGGAATGAGATCTAGTCCACTTTTAAAGCAAATTTAATTTCTACAGGGTTGGCATTAAGTAAGAATTTGTAGCAATCTATGCAGTATTTAAAAATAACTGAGAATCATGACAACATAAGTTACTTTGAGATACAAGAAGAGGGTAGAGAGCTAAGAGGGAGCAGATACACTTACCTCAGGGTAGCACAACCCACAAAGGCCAGTGCCCACAGGGGGAAGAGGGAGACATTCTGTGTAGCCCTCTCACAAACAGCCTTCTAGGGAGTCTTACTAGTTATAATTCATAAACTGTCAGTTAAATTCTAACAACAACTATGTATGCTCTCCCCAACTTCCCAAATAATAATCTTCTCAGAAATAAAATCAGGGAAGGGACTGAGTTCTGGAAAGAAATGGTGAGGCTGTGGAAATCGAAGTGGGGGTGTGGTCTCCTCACCCTCAGGGTGTGCCTTGTATCCCCATGTTCTGCCTCACAGTCTCCTGTGTATGAAATGTAACCTGTGAAATCTGTCCTTGAAAAAGTCACAGTGGAGCTTGAGAACCCTCTGGGGCCATTACTTTTTGTCCTTCACTACCCTAAATTCAGATAATCTCAACATCCTGAAATATCCTTTGATTTGTTCTTTCTCTGATATCTTCTGTCCTTGGGATCAAAGCCTCTTTCATTGGCACCAAATAAGGCCCAGGGAGGAGTTTTGGCCATATAATCCTCTGCGCCGAAAGTTTTCGATCCACCACTGTCTTCATATTCCTGAATAAGCTCCTGGAAGCGGTTATAATCAATCCACGTCCACCATTCTCTCTCAATCTTAAACTAGGAAGAAAAAAAGTAATCAGGTCAGAAGTAACAACAGCCATTAAAAAAAAATCAAATAAACACCAAAAATAAAAAATGAGCCTCATCTTTTATCCATATCAGGGTAAAAAAAATTTTTTCATGCTCCAGATATGGTTCCATATCAAAGCAAAAGAGTCAAAGGAGAGTTTCTTTTGCGTCAGGACGCCAGCCAAACTGCTGAACAAAGAATGCACCCTGGAACTGAAAGTCAAGATTACCTTGATCAATCATTAAAGAGAGTTAATTAAGTGTTTTTGCATTATCATATGTTAAAAACCAAGCTAATTCTAATTTTTCTTGTCACTTTTACTTATTTTATTAAAATTTCACTTTTGATTAGAGTTTGCATTCAATATTATTTTCCATTAGTTTCAGGTGCGCAACAAAGTGTTGAGACAATCATATACTTTACAAAGTGATTTCCACAGACATTTCAAGTACCCAATACTGTACATCGTTATTGCAATGTTATTAACTATACTACCTGTGCTGTGCTTTACATCCTGTGACAATTTTGTAACTGCCAATTTGTACTTCCAGGGCCCTTCACTTTTTTCACCCAACCCCCAACCTTCCTGGCTTCTGGCAGTCATAAGTTCGTTCTCTGTATCTACAAGTCTCTTTCTGTTTTGTTTGTTCATTTATTCTGTTTTTTAGATTCCACATATAAGTGAAATCATATGGCATTTCTTTTCTCTGCCTGACACATTTCACTTAGCATAATACCCTCTAGGTTCACCCATGCTGTCCCAAAGGATAAAATGCCATTCATTTTTCTGGCCAAGTAATATTCCATTAATTGTAGGTATATTTACATCCACTCTTCTATTGATGGGAACTTAGGTTGCTTCCATATTTTGGCTATTATAAATAATGCTGCAACAAAGGTGGCGGTGCATCTGTCTTTTTGAATTAGTGTTTTGGGTTTCTTCAAATATAGACCCAGAATTAGAATGGCTGGGTCATAGGCAATTCCATTTTTAACTTTTTGAGGAAACTCCACCCTCTTTTCCATAGTGCCTGTACCAGTCTACATTCCACCAACAGTGCACAACCATTCCCTTTTCTCCACACCCTTGTCAACACTTGCTGTTTGTTGATTTATTGATGATAGTCATTCCAACAGATGTGAAGTGATATTACATTGTGGTTTTAATTTGCATTTCTCTGATGATCAGTGATATTGAGCATCTTTTCATATGTCTATTCACCACAGGCATTTTTTGGATACAATTATAAATGGGATTTTCTCAGTTTCTCTTTCTGATAGTTTATTATTGGTGTATAAAAATGCAACCTATTTCTGAATATTTATTTCATATCCTGTTACTTTAGTAAATTCATTTAGTAGTGCTATCAGTTTTTTGGTGGAATCTTTAGGGTTGTCTCTACATATTTTCTATTCATTTGTAAATAACAGTTTTACTTCTTCCTTTCCAACTGGTATGCCTTTTATTTTTTCCTTCTTTATTTGATTGTTGTGGCTAAGACTTCCATTACTACACTGAACATGACTGGTAAAAGTAGACATCCTGTCTTGCTCCTGATCTTAAGAAAAAACCTTTTAGTTTTGCCCTGTTGTGAATGATGTTGGATGTGGGTTTGTCATATATGGCCTTTGTTACATTGAGCTATGTTCCCTCTATTCCTACTTCGTTGAGATTTATCATAAATGGTGCTGGATTTGTCACATGCTTTTTCTGCACCTACTGATATGATCACATGATTTGTATCTTTCTCTTTTTTAAATTTTATTTTAATCATTGTTCAAGTACAGTTTTCTGTCCTTCACTCCCATCCCAGCCCACCCACCCACCCCTCCCCAGGTCCCTCCCATTTCCACCCCCACTAGTTTTTGTCCATGCGTCCTTTATATTTGTTCCTGTAAACCCTTCCCATTCTCCCCTGAAATTCCCTCCCCTCTCCCCTCTGGTCACTGTCAGCCTGTCCTCTATTTCAGTGTCTCTTACATTTGGTTTATGTGGTATATCACATTAATTGATTTGCAGATATTGAACCCTGCATCACAGAGTAAATCTCACTTGATCAAGGTGTATGATCTTTTTAATAATGCTGAATTCAGTTTGCTAATATTTTGTTGAGGATTTTTGCACCTATGTTCATCAGGGACATTGGTCTATACCATATTTTTTGGACAATAAGATATACCTAAGTTTTAGGGGAGGAAAATAGGAAAAAAAGTTTTGAAGCAAAAAATGTGGTAAAATATTTAATAACATAAATAACATAATATTTCACCACTGTAAATGTAAACAGAACTCAACAGCAGCACTAACAACCATTATTCCTCCCAAATTTGGGGGGGGGGGGCGGTGGGAAGGAGTGCATCTTATAGTCCAAAAAATACGGTGATTTTCTTTTTTTGTACTGTTTTTATCTGGTTTTGGAATAGGCCAATGTTGGCATCATAAAATGAGCTTGGGGGCCTTCCCTCTTGAGTTTCTGGGGAAGTTTGAGCATAGATGTTAGTTCTTTTTTGAATGTTTCGTCAAATTCACATGTGAAGTCATCCAGTTCATTGACCTTTCGTATTGTATTTTAGACTATTTCAGTTATTTCCACTCTTAACCTTTATTATTTTCTTTCTTCTAGTCACTTTGGGCTTACTTTGTTTTTCTCTTTCTAGTTTCTTTAGGTGTGTAGTTACACTGTTGGTTTGATAATTTTCTTGTTTCTTAAGGGAGGCCTGTATTGCTATGAATATCCCCAGGGACTGCTTTAGCTCTGTCCTATAGATTTGATTGTTGTGTTTTCATTTTCATTTTTCTCAAGGTATCTTTTTATTTCTTCCTTGATATCATGTTAACTCATTCATTGTTTAAGTACCATGTTATATTAGTCTCCATGTGTTTGTGTTTTCAGTTTTTTTCTTGTAATTGATTTCTAGTTTCAGAACATTGTAGTCGAAGAAGATGCCTAATATGATTTCAATTCTTCTAAATCTACTGAGATTTGTTCTGTGTCCTAACATGTGGTCTATCCTGGAGAATGGTCCACATGCACATGAAAAAATGTGTATTTTGTTGCTTTGGGGCTAAATGTATGAAAATATCAATTTAATCCACCTGGTCTAATGTGTCCCTTAAAGCTGATGTTTCCTTGTAAGTTTTCTTTCTGGAAGATCTATCCATTGATGTCAATGGTATGTTAAATTCCTTATTGTGGCTGTACTACTGCTGATCTCTCCTTTATGTCTATCAAGAAATGCTTTATATATTTATGTGAATAAATGTTTACAAGGGTTATGCATCTTGTTAGATTAACTGCTTTATCATTACATAGCGTCCTCCTTTGTTTCTTATCATAGCTCTTGTTTTAAAGTAGATTTTTCTTTTTTAATTTTATATTTTTCTTTAATTTTTTAAATTATATTTTATTGATTATGCTATTACAGTTATCCTGATTTTCCACCTTTGCCCCCTCCACCTAGCACCCCCTAAATCCTCAGGCAATTCCCACCATTGTTCATGTCCTTGGGTCATATGTGGTAAGTCCTTTGGCTACTTCATTTCCTAAACTGTATTTTAGATTCCCATTGCTATTCTGTAACTATTTTGTATTTCTTAATCCCCTCACCTTTTCACTCATTCTCCCACACTCCCCCATCTGTCAACCATCAAAACATTCTGAATCCATACTTCTGTCTCTGTCCTACTTGTTTGCTTAGTTTGTTTTATATTTGACTGTTGATAGACATATATTTTTGCCATTTTACTGTTCATAATCTTGATCTTCTTTTTCTTAAGTCCCTTTAACATTTCATATAATAATGGTTTGGTGATGATGAACTTTAGGTTTTTTCTTCTCTGAGAAGTTCTTTATTTGCCCTTCAATTCTATATGATATCTTTGCTGGGTAGAGCAATCTTGGCTGTAGGCCCCTGCTTTTCATGACTTTGAATATTTCTTGCCAATCCCTTCTAGCCTGCAAAGTTTTTTGAGAAATCAGATGACAATTTTATGGGAACTCCTTTGTAGGTAGCTAACTGCTTTTCTCTGGATACTTTTAAGATTCTCTCTTTACTTTAACCTTTGGAATTTTAATTCTAATGTGTCTTGGAGTAGGCCTCTTTGCATCCATCTTATCCAGGACTCTTTGTGCTTCCTGGACTTATGTGTCTATTTTCTTCACCAAATTAGGGAAGTTTTCTTCCATTATTTTTTCAAATCAATTTCCAATTTCTTGCTCATCCTCTTCTCCTTCTAGCATGCCTATGATGCAAATGTTGGACCACTTAAAGTTGTCCCAGATGCTGCTTATACTACCCTCATTCTGGGGGATTCCTTTTTCTTCTTGTTGTTCTGATTGGTTCTTTTTGTTCCTTATGTTCCAAATCATTGATTTGATTCTCAGCTTCATCCATTCTACTGTTGTTTCCTGTAAATTGTTCTTTGTTTCAACTAGTGCCTCCTTTATTTCTGACTGGTTGTTTCAATTAGTGCCTCCTTTGTTTCTGACTGGATCTTATAACCAGTGTTTTGAACTCTGCATCTAACAGATTGCTTATCTCCCTACTGTTTAGCTCTTTTTCTGGAGTTTTGATCTGTTCTTTCACTTCAGCCATATTTCTTTGTCTCTTCATTTTGGCAGCCTCCCTGTGTTTGTTTCTATGTATTGGGCACAGCTACTTTGACTATGTGCCTTGGTAGTGTGGCCTAATGTAGTAGGTGTCCTGTAGGGTCCAGTGGCACAGCCTCCCCATCACCCAAGCTGGGTACTTGAGGTGTGGCCTTCATGTAGACTGAGTACACCCTCCTCTTATAGTTGAGCCTTGGTTGCAGTTGGCAGAGCAATGGAAGGGATTATCTGGGCTAATCAGCTTCAAGGATTGGCTGTGACCACTTACCACCAACCTCCTCCCTCCATAAAGGATCAGTTGTGCAAGGTCACCCAGGGTGCAAGGTGGTGGTGCTCCAACGTGGTCTATAACTATCCACTGCGTGCGCTGGCCCTAG